AATCCATACAGAAAAAAGGTTTTTTGCCACAGTGTCGGCTGACGTATCTACAATAGGGATAGCCTCTGGCCAACGTGTGTATCTGTCGACACACATAAGAAGATATGTATAACCTAGTGATGGGGGTAAGGGTCCAACTAAATCGATATGTACGTGGCTAAAGCGAGCAGATGGTAATTCAAAGCGTTGACATGGAGTTCGAGTGTGCCTGTGAATTTTTGATTTTTGACAGTCTGTACATGACCTCGCCATGCAGCAGCGATGTCCTTCTGCATACCAGGCCATACAAAACGCTGTTGAATTAACGTGCGAGAAGCACGGATGCCAGGATGGGATAAATTATGGAGGCCGCTAAAAATTCCATGCCGGAATTTCGTGGAATGTATATCCGCACCACATTACCTTGCACATCGCAGTACAGTGAAAGATCTAGTTCTAACTGCATAGGTACTAAATTAAGTCCATGAGAAGACTTGTCAGACAAAAGATGTTGCAATTCTGGGTCCTGTTTCTGGCATTCAGCAATAGCGGAGAAATCTGTTGTTGATGGCAAATGAACCTCTTCAATTTTGGACAGAGCTCAGAGCATCAGCAACTGTATTTTGAGGGCCTTCTACATGCCTAAAATCGGATGTAAACTGCGCTATGTAATCAAGATGACGCATTTGCCTGGGAGAAGCCTTGTCAGGCTTTTGTCGAAAAGCGAAAATTAGCGGCTTGTGGTCGGTATAGATAGAAAACACACTACCTTCTGCCATATGACGTTGACGTATGAAAATGTTTAACAGCCTCATACGCAAAGAAGTTCGCGGTCGTACGTACTGTATTTTGATTGCGCTGCAGAAATTTTTTCGAGAAGAAAGCCAGAGGCTTCCATGCTCCGTCTACCAGTTGCTGCAAAACCGCACCCATGGCCGTATTAGACGCGTCAACCATTAATGTTAAAGGGTGCTTAGAAAGATAGCTAAGAGCTGTTGCTGACGCTAAGTCATTGTATCTTTCTTTTTACTTCCAACCGAATATGTGTGCAAAGGTGCCTGCTTTTCAGCGGCATGAGGAAGAAAGCGACGATAAAAATTTAACATGGCCAGAAAACGACGCAGCTCCTGAACAGTTTTTGGCTCTGGGAAATTTTGAATTGCAGTGACTCTGTCACTAAGTGGGCGAACGCGCTCCGAAGAAACTTCGTGACCAAGAAATGACATAGATTTCCCGAAAACACATTTTGATGGATTAATGACTACACCATAAGACTAAAATCGGCCAAGGACTATGCAAAGGTGTTCAAGGTGCTGGTTTTCAGTTGTCGAGGCTACCAGAATGTCATCGAAATATGGGACACAACAATCTAAATCTCGAAGGACTTCATTAATGAATCGCTGAAACGTTTGCGCAGCGTTACATAACCCGAAAGTCATGACAGGAAATTCGAATAATCCAAAAGGTGTTATTACAGCAGTTTTTGGTATATCAGGTGGATTGACAGGGATCTGATGGTAAGCACGAGTAAAATCTAGCGTAGAAAAATATTTTTTCCTTCCAAGACTTGCATGCAGTCCTGAATATGAGGAACCGGATATCTATCAGGCAAAACTGAATTAAGACGTCGATAATCCCCACAAGGACGCCAGTCGCCGTTTTTCTTAGGGACCATGTGGAGTGGACTGGCTCATGAACTTTTAGATGGCCGACAGATTCCTTGCTCAAGCATGTATTTAAATTCTTCTTTTGCAGCCTTTAATTTCTCTGGAGGCAACCGCCGTGCTTTGGCAAACATTGGTGGTCCAGTAGTCTCTATGACGTTTACAATACCGTGGTCAGCAGTCGGTTTGCCAGTTACTGAGCGGATGACATTAGGGTATTGCTCAAGTAGTTTGTGGAAAGGAGAATTACAGGAAATTAATTTAATTCCAAAACTAGTGGCATTTCCAATGCTACCTACAGCGGACAATTGTGTGGTGGAGTCGAGTAAGCGTCCATTTTTAATGTCGACCAACAGAGAAAATTTTCGCAGTCTGCACCAATTATTGGGTGCGAAACCGCAGCGGCCATTGAAATTTGCGACGCAATCCTAGATCCAAAGACATTAATATTTCTCCATATGTTGCAATTTTTGACCCGTTAGCTGCAAATAAGTTAAATTTTCTAGGTGGCCGTTTGGATTCGGCAAAAGAGGGAGGTACAACCGAAATGTCAGCACCTGTATCAACAAGAAAACGTCTGCCTGATAGTTTATCTGTTACGAACAATCGACTAATGCACGGGCCGTTGTCACTCATGGCTTCGAGTGACGGCCCCTTCAGTTTAAAGAGGTCTTCTGAAATTTGCATGGAGGTGTATACTTGCGCGCTTTATCACCGAATCGGCTGTGATAGAAACAAATGTCTGATTGAGTAACAGAATGAGCGCGTTGGTATTCCCTATTATTTCGGTTCCGGGACTTTGATATAAAATTTCGTGTCGTCGCGTGTTATACCCCCGAGCTTGAATTGTACATCTAATTGAAAAAAACCAAAGGTTGGGGTTACTACGGTAAAATGGGGCAGTTTCACAGCAACGCGAGCCATTTGTTTGTCATCAGTGGCTAGAGGATCGCTAGTAGTCATAATAAATATGAATAAATACAGATTAAAAAAAAAACGATATAGTTTAAGAATATTGTTGCAGTACACGTGAAGAAACACAAAATAATTAATGTTAGGACCTGGGTTCTAATGACCTAGAACATGAGAAATATAGGAATAAACTCACCCGCTTGACGAATACATACGAATCCATGTGCGGAATAAAAGGTAGAAAATATCACCTTGATGCACAGAAATTATCCACTCGCTTGATGTTGGAACACTATCACTAATGGAAGATGAAGGTAATCCACGTGGCTGTAATATGATGAAACTGATGCACGATCCAATAGACACGATAAGTAATCCAATACACATAAGTAAAAAATATTGGTTCAGCTGCATTTCTCACATTATTACAAGGTCTTGTTTAAGCACAAAATTTCTGCTGTACTATAAATTTCGACGATTCATTTGGCTTAAGCCTCACCGTCCTGAAGTTACCATTTGTTGCACGTGGTTGCGGCTGTGTACAACAGTAAACTATGCGTATTGGAATTTGCCAGTGCTTTTAAGGATGAATTCATAACATGCCATAAGAGCCAAATTTGATAACAAAAACATTTAATCACATCACAATATTAAAACTTAATTACTACAGTCGACAGGCAATCACGTTGGAGGAAAGCGAGCGACCAACCGCACCGACGACGAGACGTGACTTTGTGTCGCCGAAATCACCTTCGGTTACAGTTAGTGATAACGGCGCGGTTGGCGAGTACAACACATGTTTACAGAGTCGCCACACGGATGACCGTTATACGGGTGTTGAAACGTTGGAAAGGTCATGGGTCATGGGAACCACGTGGCTGTAAATTCGCTTAATTTAAGAATTAATTACTCCCGTTCTAATTGTCCATCGGGCTTGTAATTAGCATCAAAATTGGGAAATCCTCTTTCCAATGATATTCAATTTAATAAGCGTTGGCTTCGAATGGCTGCTCGGCGATCGCTTGAAGACTGCTAGCTGGAATCACCAAGCTCAACGTATTGCTATAAATATTAATTACTTCGTAATTAATTAACCGTTTGACGTATATCCAAAAATTCGGTATCCGCGTACTCATCGAGCTGTTATCTATCCGATGCAGTTTGTTTCAGAACCTGAAAATAAAAATTTCCGCTACTACGGAGAAAAAACACGGAGCTGCAGAAACACGATCTGCTCCTGGCTCTGCTGAGCGAAGATCGGCTCAGTAGCATGTAGGACCACCGCGGACACAGCGATGCGCAACAACGCGTCTAGACATAGAGTCAATAAGAGTGCGGATGGTGTCCTCAGGGATGGCTCTCCATTCCCTTTCAACTATTTGCCACAGTTCGTTTTCTGAACGAGGCAGGGGCAGAGTCTACAAACGGCGTCAAATCACATCCCACACATGTTGGATTGGTGACAGGTCAGGAGAGTACGGTGGCCAGGAGGGAAGCATCTGTATACCTTACAGAGCATGTTGGCAGATGCGAGCACTGTATGGTCGGGCGTTATCCTGCTGAAAAATTGCATTAGGAAGCCCCTGAAGGTACGGGATTGCCACCGGCCGCAGTGCATTTCCCGAGTATCGTTGGGCCGTCATAGTGCCCTGAATACGAACTAGAGGTGACCTGGCATCGTAAGCAATAGCGCCCCAAAACATTATGCCACGTTGTCGCGCGGTGGAGCGTTCCACAGTTACTGCCGGATTAGATCTGTCTCCACGTCGACGCCACACACGTATGCGGCGACTGTCACTAGATAAACAGAAGCGTGACTCATCTGAGAACACTACGTTTGGCCATTCTGTCATCCACATCGCTCCAGTCCGACACCATTCTAAATATTGGCGTCTATGTTGTGGGGTCAATGGCAGTCTTCTTAACGGACGCCCGTGAGTGCAGGCCACGTTCAACCAATCGACGGGAAATGGTTCTGGTCGACACGAGAACATCCAGGTATCTTGTACATGCTGGAGAATCGCGGTACAAACGACACGAATTTTGCCCATTCTGCACGTTCCTTCCTTTATATCTCACTTCACGTATGCCGGAGAGCTGCGCATTTCACATCATTCGCATAACTCAGTGACGTGCATCTACTCTAAAATTTGCATAAATTTCTGACCACTCCTTCTTGGTGTTGTATTTTCAATGTCGAGCAGTGTACTATTTACAGCCGAAGGCACCCCACCCTGGCTTAATCATTTTCTGCTTTCATGCCGCTGCCTAGCAATAGTACAATTAGATAAATGAGAAAGTCTCTATAATATTATCGAAATAAATTCAGAATTTAATAGTTGCGAAATGAGGAATAACACAAACAAATCTGATTACGAGTTTCACTGTTAATATAAGCGCAGGACCATCTGAAAATAAAAGAAGTATGAAGTAATATTTACTTACTGCTGTAAATAGCATTGTATAAGTAGCGAAAGATGAGTGTCCTGACGGAAAGGATATTCTGAAATAAAAAAGTACTTTCAAAACATAATAGAAGTGACAACAATCGAAAGTTAGGATGCCCTTTAAAAGACAACAGTTTTCAAAATAAACTTTCAGCTTTATATTAGCGTAAAATACGCCACACGGATGACCGTTATACGGGTGTTGAAACGTTGGAAAGGTCATGGATCATGGGAACCACGTGGCTGTAAATTCGCTTAATTTAAGAATTAATTACTCCCGTTCTAATTGTCCATCGGGCTTGTAATTAGCATCAAAATTGGGAAATCCTCATAACATAAGCTGAAATTCCAATAAGCTGAAAAGGCTAATTCAGTTAGGCTAACTGAACAAGGTTAATTGCAGCCATAGTACTTTTAAGACGGATTTATATAAATTGGAGATTTCAAAAGGGATATAATATTTACAATCACAACGGAAACGTTGGCCATTTATTATCACAAGATTAGGCATGATTACATTAAAGAACTGCATTTTTAATGCAATGTACTATTCTTATCTATATCCAACATCAGATAGTTTCTTATTTTTAATTCATTTTCGGAAAGTTAATGAAAATTAAATGCGAAAAGACAGGACGACAATTACCTTTATGCAAATAATAAAAAATATTTTTGTTTTTACTAATAAAACTATAAACGTATGTTTCTAGAAGCTTTCAGAAAGAGTTTTGCTTAGGGAATTCTTTATATCTGGGAATAAAGAGGGTTTTAATATAAAATCAGGGTGAACCTGATGTTGAATTTTGCCTAAAATTAAAATTAACACGTTTCTCTTTTAGTTATTAATTGCGAATGTTCTTGAGAGTTATCTCTCGTTTCTTCTAAAAGATGGCGCCAGTCTAATATATGAAAATGTATTTTAGAGTATTCTGATGTTGAAGATGATTTTTGGTGATACATATTAATTTCCATTTATGCGTAAAGACAATGATCTATGCTTTCAAACCATAAGATTTTTTGTAACAAAAACGGGCTTAGTTAACTTTTCTTTTCTTTTCTTTTTTTTTTTTTTTCCACCTATAAAATGACGAAGTCAATCTGAAATTGAATTTTGCTGTACTTTTAAATTTCAAATCCGAATTTTTTGCGAAACTGAATTTTTGCTGTAGATTCTTTTCCTTCTTTAAATATTGTTTGTATCTCTGCTCAGAAGAGAGATGTTTTTCGCCTTTATGTGTGTTAAAAAATGTAAATACACTACAGACCATTTGGTACTATTTTTTTGTGCCCCTTATATAGCGCAATTTATATGCTTTAGCTTTTATACAAGCCTCCAGAGGCGTAGACTAATTTATCTGACCATAAAAACCCTTTATTAAAGAAGAAGTTGAGTCAGAGTTCATAGAATCAAAGTTATACTAAGATGGAAATTTTCATGGTTTTAATTCAAAACTGAATCGTTTTACTTCCATCGATTGCTTCAATTCAGACAAACATTCAGATATATTTGAAGATTTCTCGAAAGATGGCGCCAGTATATAATAGTTGAAAGTTTAAACTATTCTTCGGCGTTCAAACCTTTATTATTGTTATGTTTGTGTAAGGAATTACATTAAATGTATTGCTATGTCGTGATGTAATTACTAAAAATGTAAAATCTTTAATTAAGACAACATTTTGGTTAATCACATTTACTTATGCTTATCATCATTACATCACTTTTTAATACATTACTTTTCGATACATTACTTTTTAATTCATCACTTGTGTTTAGTTCATGCCGATTTATGGTTTTTGCAAGAAGGTTCTGATGTTTTTCATACAACTGCATATTTATCAAGTTATAATGCGCATATCATCTTCATATTAGGTAGTTTTTGCCACTGTGCGAAACATAAGGACCTTTAATTTGTGGTTCACTCACATACAGTAATTTAAAACAACACAAAATCTTCAGTTTAGAAAAATTTTAAAAAAATGTAGTATTTCAGCAATGTATAATAGTTTGTAAAAGTATTACATGACTATAGCAAATTGAAACTGAATTAAATACACCTTACATTTTTGCAATGAAAAAAAATTTATTTAAATCCATTAAAAATTAAGGTGTCATTTTAAAAACCGAATTTTCATTACGTTTTTAACACTAAAATTGGAATTCTTACAAGCATTTTTAAACAAATCCCATATGAAAATTCGCTCTGGTACTAAATAAAGTTATTAAAAATTTCACAAATTTTACAGTTTAAATGTAAGATTTTCATGTTTACATTTGCATTTCAGCGAATTCTTCGTACTAAATCCCCTGAACTAGTACATATAAAATGCTTTTGTGTAGCATGTTATGTAAACCTACAGTTACACATTTCTTTATTTAAAGAAAATAATGTGTTTATGAGATATGAAGATAATTTCCTTTTCAGTTAAAAATTCATTAAAATGCGATTTTTCCATTTACATGCAGGATTTTTCTCAGCTAGTTGATTAGAATTTCAGAAAATTTTGAAGAATTGTGTAAATTATAAAAATGCCAATTACTGTGCTTCTGACATGAAAGCGTTTAGTATTATGATTAAATTTAAGATCACTTAAAAATTTCGATTGGTCATTTTTCATTGTCTCAAATAAAATTAGGAATATTATGTATGAAATATTATAATTATGCATAAGCACACATTTTAACTGATGAAGTTTATTAAAAAATTATTTATGTTTCTTTATTATAGTCAAGAAAGCAATATGCATTTACAGAATTTAAAGGTAATTATAGCATTAAGCCGAGATTTCTCAAAACTATAATTTTTTCTCTTGCTGATATGATTTCTCAGAAAATATTATTTAGAATTTCAAGAAATTATGATCTCTTGTATAAACCTTATATAGATATGAAATGACTAATTGTTATGCTTCTTGCATGAAATCTTTATAAATCGCATTTAATCTATGTTAAAAAATGATGGATTTTTAATTCTTACTTTTTTTTTCTTTTAGATGATGTATTTAACTTATTTTTAAAGTGGGTCACTCTAATTGGGAACTCTTTTCTAAACCGAAGGAAAAAAAAATTAGCTAAATGTAGTAATTTTTTATCCATAATGCTGTAGTTTAAGAACATTCGACAAAATGCATATAGCAATATGTAATCTGTTGTAAAATGAGCGCTGTGAGATTATTTATATTCTGCGCACAAATTTAGATCAAACGTCAACTGTCAGCAATTAAGTTTTTTGGAAGTTAAAATTCATATACGGATTTTTAGTAGAATAGGCTCGCTAATTTTAAATTCTGCGTTGCTTATGATTAAACTTAAATTTGTATTTGAAATTTTAAATTTCAAATACAAATTTAAGTTTAATTTATAGAATAACAGAAATTTTAATTTCAAACAGAAATTTAAGTTTTAAGTTTTTAATAATTGAGCAAATGATTATTCTTTACTGAAGCCTGTATGTCATATGCGCAGAGAGAGACAGGAAGAAAACTCCTTTTATTAAGTTTAAAAATGCTGCACATTTTCATTATTGTTAATTACATATCATATAAATTACATATATTTGAATTTGCCTCAGTTACAGATATCTCAAGAAGAACAATTTAAAAGATTTAAATTACTAAGAAATACTTCTATTGTCAGGAAACTGTTAAGTAGTTTTAATTGATAGATAGAATCTTCTGTCACATCAAATGGCAATAATCTAAAAACTAGTCTTTTGACATACACGATCAAGGAAAATTCATTACTGATGCTACGAGAAACCTCACTAGATCCCGTGGATGATAAATTGCTTGGTAACATAAAATAATATGAGTGGCTAAAGAATATTGGCATAACTCAGTTTAAGACATTTGAGAGCAGACATAATAATATAATAGTGATAATAATAATAATATGATGACTTGCAAACAAATATGCTGCCTGAAATCACCAGATTACAGCCTAACATTTTAAAAGGTGTTTCATTAAAAAATTAAACTGAAAAGAATAAAAACAACTCGAAAATTTCCGTCGAGATGTTTAAAAATATTGTTGAATTTTAACAATATTTTTAAGCATCTCGAAGATTAAATATTGTTGAATTAAATCTGGCGTGCACTTTTAGCATTCTCAATGAATGAAGAGCTAAGAGCTATTAACTATAGACCCTTTAAATTAAATATAATCAATTACAGAAAAAATTACAGTTACAAATTTCAATTTATAAAATACAAAATTAAATTATATTTACATAACTTAAATCTCTTTTTACCGAAATATTTTACCTGCCATCTATGATTTTATCATAATCGGTGCCAGTGCATATATAATCTTCTACATATTGGTGCTTCTCATTAGTAGAATTGCAGTCAAAGTTGGGTCCGCAAACATCAATGAAGTTTGGCCTCAATCTTCCAACTGTGAACTTGAGGATATCAGTGGTTAGTTCAGTAAGGCAAGCACCAAATAAAAATGCATTGCAGTAGGAATAGATGTTACGCAGAACGTTGGGTATTTTCCATCTGTGAATAAGCCAATTATCATAATCATCATTTTCAGAATTTCGAAGTGATTCTGTGAGTGCAATCTGTAATAATATAAATTTAAACATTTGTTGATTTATTAAAATTGAAGTAATATATTACTTTCAAAAACTAAGCAGCAAATTGTTTCCCAACACAGCATTGCAAGAATAAATGATAAATACATCAAATAAATTTATGGAGGAAATAAAAGGTAAGAAAAATAAAAGTATGTGCAACTGAAAAATGCCTATTTCCTTAAGAAACGACGATACTTGAATTTAAACTGAGGAAAGTGGGAAAATGTTTCATGTATGTATGTATGTTTCATGTATAATTTTCGGGAAAGTAACTGCATGCATTGAAAATTTCTGTGTGAAATGTTATAAAAGGACCGTTTCCGACATTACGTAAAGAAGAGAAAAATTTGGGTGTATTGAAATGGTCCTGCCACGGGTTGAAGTTTGTAGACTATTATATGTCAGTTGTGCCACCTTCCACAGATTATGGAATTGGCTTCTCAGCGAATGTACAGTGCCAAAGTAACCAATTCCTGGTCGTCCACCGGTAACAGCTCCTTCTGAGGACCGCTTCCTGATTCTTCTTGCTAAAAGACGACAAAACAAGATGAGGCTTCAAATTGTTGTCGATATATTTACAGCTCCAGTATGAAAAATATCTGCTTGTAATAAGGGATGACTGTTCGCCAGATGTCACGCTGTTTCTGTTTCACTCACTCCTTCACAGAAAGCACAGCGAAGAATGTGAGTGAGAGCACATCACGTAAAGCAGAGTTCAGTAGATATTATATTCTTCATAAATGAATTAAAGTACTCTCTGCATTTTAGATAACGAAGTGTTATTATCTTGTTGAAGGGGTACTTAGTAAGACAGAGCAGTACTCTTGTTTGGAGAGAAATCAATTTAGAAGTTATGTTAGCATGCATGTGTTTTTTGAGGTTTGCTTTAATTATATATAAAAATGTGATATCCGAATTATAAGAAGGCAATACAGTGTTGTAGATGGATAATTTACCACCTTAAAATACGCTTGAAGAACCATACGCATCCTATACATTTCAAAATATGCTGACATAATTCATCATGTGTTGCTTAATATTTAGAACAAAAGAAAATATATTTGCGTAGCTTAAAACGAAATATTTTACCTATGTCGCTGAACTATCTTTCTTTTAGAGCACCTCAGTTATACACTTTGCTGTGAAACGCTTTAAAAAATTTAATGACAGGTTATATGTGATAAATTTTTAATATTTGGGCCAATACCCTACCTGAATAATATTTGCAATCCTATTTAAAAATATAATGATTTATTGAAGGTGAAAAAGGTTTTTATATAAGCATGACAGGTAGCCAACATTTAAATAAATAAGTAAATCAAAAGGAATGCTCACCACAATAACTCCAACTGAAGTTCCAATTGTGTACAGCATACGATCGCTGATTGTCGATTCCTTGTAAGGATAACGAATGCTATCGTCGTTGCAGAAGTATCCTCTATTGTAGGGCGTTAATACACCATAAAATAACATAATTGGAACGGAAACTGTTAAAGAAGAAATTTTTGACTGCATGAAAATTTAACAGATACTTAATACTCGCTACATAATATTTAAACCAATGCCATTTGAACCATTTTTAATTTGCATTTTTCAGTCAAATTTTAAAATCTGATGTATTCCCTTATAATAAAATGTTCCGAAAGGAATTTGAAAAACTTTTTATGACTATCTGATAAATTAATGTAGTAATTTTAAATCTACGTGAAACACATATTTGAAAAAAATAGATCATATGAAGATCTCATAAATTTGATCATAAACATAAAAAATATCTTGTAAAGTTAATGACAAAGATAAAAATACCTTAAAATAAGATTATAAAAAGAGAAAAATAATTAAAAAATATAAAATACCTCATAAATTTGTTGGCAAATAAAAGATAAAAAGTTTAAAGATAAAAAATAAAAGACAAACAGATATTTCAAATTTGGTCATTGAAAGAGAAATAAAAAGATAAGAATTAATAAATGTAAAAGGGAAGGATCTTGTAAATTTGGTGACAAAATATTTAAAATATACCTTCTCAATTCTAACCGACTTAATATCGTCTCATACTGAGATCAATTATTGTTATACTGAGATTAAGCGTTATGATCAATTAGGATGGAAATGTTTAAAAAAAAAATGTTGAAAGAAATTCAAACGAAAGCTTTAAGCAGTATATTAAGCAATTGGTTTTAAAAAATTGCACATTATCAAAGTAACCGTTTTATTTTGACGTTAGTTAAATGTGCAGTCTGTAATTGCTTTAAACTTCATTTGATTTTCACTTGATGCCTTAGTATACTATAAGCCCCGTATGAGATCTTGCGAGGCTCATAACCTCTGTAAAAAGTTATATTCATTTGATTTTCTTCTTTTATGCTAATACCATTTAGAAACGGAAGTAATTGTGACTGACCATCAGCAGTTCATTTCAAGTCCTATTTGCACTTGAGATGATTATGAATTCCGAGGAAAGGTATCATATTTTATATTAAAGATTTTGTTTCTTAAAAAATAGAATTATTTATTTTAAAATACTTTATGTAATTTTTATCCGTTATAAAACCCCTAGTGGCTTGTTTTCAAAATATTAATAGAAAGACCCTTTTAGGTAATTTTGGCTTCATTGAATTTTTGGTAACACTCCTATGACGCTGAGAAAATAGAAGGTATGTTCTCAGTCGTTTTCTACATATAATATCCTAATAAAATGTATTATGCTGGGATTTCAGCTGAAGCGCATTAATTTCCGTAAGCTAAGCAACAGAATCAGCAATTGTAAGGACGTAAATCTAAATTTACAGTTCGGAATTCTTTTGATGCCCCGTGCTATTATGCACACTATAGCTACAAAAGTGCTTAATCCATGCTATGCAAACTTGAAGTTTTTTTTTAAACTCATGTAGTACAGATTATAATGCAATAAAGACTGTACAGAGAAATGAAAATTGATCATGAACATGATCATGTACTGTGGCTGATATATTTTATTATTTTGGATAGAAACAAATAGTTACGTTACGCGAAAATACTTACAAATATCCAAAGAGATCGAAACCCCAATAAAACACAAAATGTACGCAACTATTATTTGAAGGTGGAAAAGAAACACTCTGGAAAATAATGGCTAAAGAAGAAAAATTTTCACAGACCGACGAGGAATCATAAAATCGAAATTTCAGCTTTCAAAACGCAGGCCATGTTAATTGGTGTGGCAAGACCTTTCAAAAGAAAACTTGTAATTAAATTACAGGGGATCTCAATCAAAATAGTCGACCATATGAGGTATTTAGCCTTGTAATTGATTCACGGCTCTCTTGGGTACCCCATTTAAAATATATCAAAAATAAAATAGAAGTCCTGAATAACAACATAAAGAATAACAACATATTTTCCTAGAACTGTCTAAAAGTAGACATCTTCAACCTTTGGCGTCCGAGAGCCATATCAATAAATTCGCAAAGATCCGCGGACCACATTTCTGTCAAAAAATAGTGTAATCAGAAAATTTATATGAAAAAGAGAGGTTTGTTTTACAACACTACAATTGATTCTAAGCGAAGAGATAGTGTTACACATAAGTCAAATGGAAATAGAATTAAAATCTTTACAACATTTTTAACCATGAAAAAAAAGTATAAAGACGATTGTACAGAACGATGTTGCAAAATTCATGTGCAATAAGTAACTAAATAAATAAATAAAATTAAATTACTGGCGGTAGATGGTAGTTACTTTAGTTTTAATGTGAAATTTGACATTGTTTTTGCTTGATTAGAGCTTCAATATCCGGTTTAATCTATGTTGTCGCAATTCGTAAAGTTTCCTCCAAAGATCTGTCTGCCAGCTGTGTTTTTGTTTTTGATTTTAGGATTTTCATTTTATTAAAAACTTGTTCACATATGTAGGTACTGCCAAAGTTAGAAAACATGAAGAGTGCATATTTATGAATTCCTGGATACTTTTTTCGGTCACGTACTTCGAATAAAAATAAATTAATATAGTATTTTCAAGAAATTTGCATTTTACTGCAAAGTCACACTGTAAACCTATAAATTCTAATTGAAGTTCAGGTGGAACATTTTTAACGTCTACTGAAAATGGCAACATTCTCATGAACATTTCATTTTCACGAAAATCGGAAACTCTACTTTTGAATTTCTCTTGAAATGTATTGTACATAATCATTTGAAATCCGTGTTGTAGAGTTCTTCACATACTCCATCAATTTTGGAAACTGAGTTTAATTCTTATTTATCAACTGACTTTCCCACAAGGTTTATTTTGTCTCAAAAGCTTTCACAAAGTAATAAAGCTTACGAACAAGTAGATTTTTTCTTAGTAAGCGGTTGTTAATTCATTGAGATGACCTGTAATATCGACAAGAAATGCAAAGTCTCTCAATCATTTCTCATTACTGAACTCGTGAATAGATTTCTCTTTAGATTCCATGAATTGTTGAACTTCGCTCTTCAAAGAAAACAGGCGTTGAAGCCTCTTTCCTCGGCTCAACCAACGTACTTTCGCGTTCTACACAACGTCACCATATTCAGCTTCCAAATCACTCAAGAACTGTTGAAGCTGCCTGTGTTTAAGTCCTTTAGACCGAATGAAATTAACCACTTTTACAGCAGAGATAAGAATCTACCCTTTTTATGGAAGAATCTACCCTTTTTATGGAAGAATCTACCCTTTTTATAGATTTTATGCGTAGTCAAATTTTTAATTTTTAAAATTACATAAGATATAAAGTGAGATTTTTGAAAAACTCGTCATTTTTAGAAAATTTTATCTTAAATAATATCAGGCATGTCAATAAAATGTCTTAAAATCAAGAATAAGAGAAAATTAGTTTTTTACGACAAAAATATATTTTTGATAGACAAGATATTTTTTTCTTGAAATCAAAAATTTTTTTTAATTCTTCAATTTTTCTTCAAATTGAAATGTGAGACGACTAAAATGCCTTCAGCGGGCCACTGGTTGAAGACCCCTAGTCTAAAGTAATCCCCTCCACGAATAATCGTAGCATTCCTATGCAAGGTGACCAAGCAACAATAACCTACCCTGTCCATGAAACCCTTGAGTGACAACGAATAAATTTACATCAGTCCGCATGGATTTCTAGGACGGAAGCCTGCTCCGTGGCGTACAGTAGTAAGCGGAGGTACTTGGTAGGCGGAATTGAATTCATAGAAAAGCAGTGACAAGTGGGAATGACGTTGACGCAGTCGTGTTAAATGCAATCATTCTCAGGTGTCATGTCACTCAAGATGGCAGCTTTCTAGACCACGTCCCTTTACTTTGATCTCATTTTCCCTTACCGAGTATTTCCGTTTACTGCTTAATTCGTTTCTTTTGTAGATTTGCTAATTTTTGCCTGTAACCTATTTGCGTTTCCCTGAACCTGGGCTTAATTTCTAAAATTAGAAGTACCTCAGCCCTATAGGAGGCCGTTCAGGAAAGTGAAGTAAAATAAATAAATAAAATGATAATAAATAAAAATAGATAAAATACAAATAAATTAAACAAAAGTTCTTAAATTAAATTAATGTCAGTTAAATAACGAGCTAAAAGCACCAGAGCTCATCTTATTTGAGGCTCCGGCTGGAGTAACATTTTATTTCAAATTTTGAGAAGTTTCAAAACAGGGCTCCAGTTTTGAACTCGTTCGCCCTTACATGACCGAAAGAACTTAAAAGTACAGAAAGTGTTTCAGTATTTTTTTCCTTTAACTTCTATCTATTACTTAAATAACTTAAATAAATTTTTCTAAGAACATAAATTTCTAGAGTTTTAAAAGCAAGACAACTCCCGCCCTCCTCAAAACATTAACAGAAATGCGTTCCTTTATTCCATTTGTTAAAAAAATGGTATCAACTATTTTAACATTTAAAGTACATTTCACAAGCAGTACTCTAGAAATAAAAAAACATCATATAAACGCTGCACTCAAGAACCTATAAGACTCATTCACATTTAAAACTGACGCATTGTAAATGATATTTATTTTATTTCATGGTACTGTTAAACATATGAATTACCTTCTAATAAAATATCTGATTACTTATAATTTTCATCGTTTGTATCAAAGACACCGGGCAGTATTTCTTATACATGCTTCAGTTTTGCAAAGCTTTAATTTGAAATATCAAAACTTCTAAGAGTAAAAATACTTTTGTTTTGCTTTTTATTTAATATATTTAAACTTACCCACTAAAAGAAGAATAAAGTCTGCACCAATCTTCATTCCAACATGTTTCTCATTGAAAGCTGACGACATGCTGATGTATAATTCACAGAGAGTAAAACCTCATCTAACTTTAAGCTTCTCGATTTGTTGAATATACCTAAAGCCAAAAGAAAGCTGAAATATTTTGAAATGAAGAATTTTAAAATAGATTTGAATGGAATAAATATTTATATACAAATTCACAGCCTAGCGTTAGCAATATATAAATGTAATAGCACTTGGCTATAACTGGTAAATTTTGATTCTTTAATTTGGTGTCAATGAAACGAAAACCTTAATATAGAAACAAGATGTCATATAAGTAAGTATAGATTACAAATACTACCTTTAACTTATTTTAGTTTTGTTTATTTTATTATATTATAGTGTTACATTACATTAAAGAAAGAAAAGGCTTCGTGGATGAATATCTATGAGAAATGGTTCTCATTCACATTACACGTTAAGAAATTCGCGAAGATTCCTATGTAGTCAATTCGTTTGCCAAAGTGTGAAATTATTAGCATCCAGCTATCTTACCCATACATTGCAAATCTTAGTTTAATTACTTTTGTTGCAATTCTTAGTTTAATTACTTTTGTTACAATTCTTAGTTTAATTACTTTTGTGAAACACGAGTACTATCTATGGTTGTGAAACGCATGTCTTTGTAACATTATTTACATTATCTAATGTAAAAGTAATAGTGTAATTTATGCAGCATAGAAAAGACAGAAATTTGTTTCAAAATTTTGTCTTTTTGCTTCATTATTAATTTTTTTGAAGTCTTTTTCTTATACAATACCAAATAAAGTGATATAATATCGAAGAACTTTACGATTAAAGAGTTCTTAATTTCAGTTACCATCTCTGGTGCATCGACAAAAATAGAATATACCTGACAGGTGTCAGGTGAGAGCAGACACCAGGCGCCTTGCATAGATTAATCGGGTATCGTCTGAAGGTTATCGTTAATCGGGTGACTATCTGAAGACACCCGGAAATCAAGACATTGCATGGTCGTACCAGGGCATGCAATATAAGTATTATACCATATTAAGCTGCATGGTGTAATACTTCTTTGGCTAAATGAAGCAACTCCAATGATGGAACACAGCAATAACTTTTATTTAACACTCAGAAATGGTGACATACAAACAAGAAGATAAAACATATTCTATAAACTTATTTAAAAAAAATAATTACGTGCTTCGTGCGAGAAAATACATGCAGCTCTCGAGCCTGCATTTCAATATTGCCAGTAATCTGTACATTATTTATTATTCATCTATTTCAAATGCACGAGAGATTAATAACGATATTAAAGCTGTTACAATGGCTTTGCATAAAGCAGGAAGAGCTGAAGAAATATTTACTTGCCGACTTCGTGAGAATCAGAAGCAGAAGAATGTTTTGGGGGGGGAAGAGTGGGAGATATTCAGGCGGCAGAGAAGTCAGAAAAAAACATAAATGTAATTTTTCAGAGGAAATTTTTACATGTTTGAATACTTTGAATTTCAGAATAATTCTAGCTTCAATCTTCCAGACTTGGAGCAGGAGAAAAAAAATCGATAATTCGCGGATGCATTCGACATTCGCTAAAATAATCTCGGAAATTCGGATCGCGAGAAATGACTGCTCTCATTTTGCACTGTTTGAATAAACTAAAAGATTTGCTACAACAATCACGAAGTTTTCTCTATCAGTCTTAAAATTGTACAGGTATTATTTAGTGATTAAATTAAGCTAAAAAACGAAAGTCAGATTACTGTTTCTATTTATGGAACATTTATTGTTTTCAACTGCAGTAAATAATCATATTTAGTCTAAACTGCTTGTCTTTCTGTTGATGCACGTATTTGCAGATATTTATGTTGCTAAACACTTGTAAAAATTTTGAACTTTAAGGCTACATGATACTTATTTCTTGCTACACGTACACAAAAATAAGTGTTTAGATTATACACTAAAAAGAGATCCTTACTACGAACTCACATTTTGACTATTCTTAATCGAAATTTAAACAGGTTAATTACTTTGTAAAACTATCCTTAAGCGTTAATATATATCTATCGGTATATATATACACACAGACATACATATATATGCCTCAAAATTTTTAATTCGGAAGTTTTAATAATTTTCGAGAGTATGATTTGGTTCAGTTTATTTGATGATGACTCGAGGGCTATCTGCTTAAGAAGAAATGGCTAATCTTTGGAATATGGTAACAGGTAGTTTGGCGACATTTTGGTAAGGCGATAAAGGTTACTTACATGGATGATACTGTATATGTGCAATTCTTAAAAACGCGGCAAGCCGTTTGCGATTCTGCACTTTCTTCCAATTTCGCACCTAATCTAAGTCATGAGTAAGCACTTTTGTTCCATAAATATAAAAGTTCTAGCATAAGCGTAATTCGGCTAGCAGATTGTTGGAAAAAAATATTGAGTAAAAAAAAAACATGCCTTTACTTCGTGAAAACAAAATGGCGTCCAAACAAAAACTAGCAGGTTGCTGTAGCAGGGTTGATCGCCAAATTTTGGCCAAAAAATCGCCAAGTTACCATAATCCAAAGATTAACCCAGGAAATATTCGCGAAGAGCGAAGGGAAACTGGCTCGTATACACGTTACACATGGGGGAAAGTTACGAAAACGCCTATGAAGCTTACAACTTCGCCGAGATTCGAAGCCCGGATCGAAATAACAGTGCTCAGCGATTTTAACGCTCGCCTTCTACCACTATTAATATCTTTGATATAAAATTCAATTAATATCTTATTTGAAATTGTTAGTAACCACAAAAATTTTATTACTTTGGTTTTGATTTATGTAACTTTTTTTGGATTTATGATCAGTATTCTTTTATATGTATATTAAATTAAAGCCGGTAAATTATATGATGGATGATGGTTCTAAAATAATGCCGTTGACACCTGCCAAATTTAAGTATCTAAATTTTTTATATATCTTTCCTTCGGTAATATCTACTTTTTAGTCTTTTAACGTTACACTAAAAACCAGACATATGCTGTAGGCGAATAAAATATGAGCATTTATTGTCTAGAAGTCCTGTTTAAATTAATTCAACCCCAAAGCATACCAAATATATAAAGTCATTCAAAATCCGCCCACCTTATTTTCTACACTCTTAACTTTTGAAATGACAACAAAGGTAGTCAAAGCCCAACATCGATTTATTGCCGTATGTGTAGGAACAATTCATAATAAAAAAAAAATGCTGACATTTTCTCACCAGTCTGAATGGAGAAAAAAATGATTATAATTCCACATCTCGAGATATTATCAGTTTCTTGTCTGCAGAATCCAATAAAGTAAAATTTACCTTGTATTAGTTTTGATTTGCTTCTTTGTTCAAAAATTGAATTAACATAAAATGTAATGGGCAATAACAAGCGATTTGAGTAATAAAAGATATAATCTTTAAAAGATAACTTACCTTAAGAGTGGAGGAAGATAGTTAATCTTGACACGTAGATGATACCAGACAGCGCTAAATGTACATTTTGATGTAACTCAGAGTGCAATATTTTAAAGACCTGGCAATGAGAATTTTTTGAATCTCAATTCTTTAAACAATAGGATAATTGGGATCTGAGGAGCGAAGAAGTAGGAAATTCATAGAATAATTTAGATTAATTGCCCTGTTCAATCATAGAGAAGGCGTAAATAATAGCAAGACGAAGCTAGAAACAACAGTAGATTTCTAGCACGCAGGCATACCTTTAAAACAATGATTGCCAACTGATAAACAGGAAGTGGAAATTTTTCATTGTATACGAGTATAATGAAGTACTGGACTTTCTGGACATCTCAAAAACATAGTTATTTAGCTTTAAATAAAAAAAAATTTATTTTTATCAGCTAGATTGCCCGAGTGCTTTCTTAATTGAAATTCTTAATAGCCTTTTCTTTTTTTTTTTTTTTTTTTTTTTTTTTGACACGTTTAAAAATTTGCTTCATTTATTGCTTTCAGTTTACAAATTGTACTGGTAAAATAAAAAAATACTGTTAGCGAAATATTTATTTCAAGCTTTAAACTATAGAAGTAAAATGAAATAAATAAACAATTACTCCTTGAATTGTTAAAGCTTTATTAAATTATTGAAAAAATTTCGACAAAGCAGTAATTTATGATGAAAACATACCATAGCAGTTTTCTGCTATTTAACTTTACTGAGCGGCTCATTTTAATTGTAGCCCACCAGCGGCCGAGCGGTAAAGTTGCTGAACACTGGGTAGTTCGGTCCGAGGTTCGAATCCCGCGAACGGGTTGGCTGCATGGGTATTTTCGTGGTTTTCCCCATGTATACGAGCCAGTTTCCCTTAGAAAGTCCTCCACGAAGGCAACCCTCCCCTTAGGCAAATAGCCCTAGTGTGCTTTGACATAATTAAATACACCACCACCACCATTTTAATTGTAAGGTGTTCTATTTTACACCTTAATTCCAAGAGAAATATTTCTTAAATTAAATTTATCCAACAACTTCGCTTAATATTCAAAAAGTATAATCTAATCTAAAGAAAATGTTCTTATGATCAGTTTTCAAATTGTTTTATCTTACTGTCCTTATGTTTTAAAATTTAAAATCTTTTTCTAATCTTTTTAAGTTTTTTCTACTTAAGCTTTTAGATAACTCATAAATAATTTCTTTCAAAAATGTTTTCTACAATTACATGTTGAGAGTCATTCTTTTATCCAATATGAAATTTTTGACGCTGACAATTTTTCTAACTCCAAAAACACTTTTTGGATTTTTATTATAATAACAGGAAGAAATAAAAATGTGAAGTCCAGTTTATCACCTTCTGAAGCCTTTGGACTGGAGTTTCGACTCTGTTGTGTAAGAGTTCACTAGAAAGTATATTTTTGCTTCTTTATATGACAACAATGAACAACTAAAAATTAATTGTTTCCTTAACTTTGGTAGGCTAAACGTAAATGTAAATGTGAGAACTAAAATCATTTATTCATTCAAGTTTTCGAGATTCATGCAAGTGAGGGAAATCAAAGTATTACGTTCGCAGAATGCGTTCTTCCGATCTATCATAGTAAGTTGAATCGAAAGTTTTCTTGAAGCAGGCTTAAATATACCCCATACTTTTATTCATTCTTAAAAGAACAGGAGGTATTTCATGAACCTGTATGGTGTTCAAAGATGTTTCTATAATGAAGTTTTCAAACTCAATGAACTTAAATAAATTAGATTCAATCCAGTTTTACAAGCTTAACTTGAGAATCGTACTGATATTTAAATTTCTTTGTCGGTTTCATCTTATTAAATCACGAATTATTTTGAAAAATGGGACTACCTCCGAACCAAGTATTAAAATGATAGCTAAATGCGATTAACTACCTGTAATTTTGTATAAATAATCCTGCGACAGATCTGTTTAAAATATATTATATATTTCAAATAAGGATTTATTAACACACACACACACACACACACACACACACACACAAAGGAAAAATAATCTAATTGAGAGAACCTAGTATCGAACATTCTCATCTACAAAAGTTTGTAAAAGTCTCTTTCACTATTGTCCCTTATTTTTTTATGTAAGATTTCATTTGAGTTGAATGACTATTAGCAGCTTCTTGCTATTGTGCTACCACTGACCGTAATGAAGCATTTTTATCTTTCACACGCCACTGTGCAGGCATTCTATAGAAAATAAGATATTACTTTTTTTTTTTCAGATTTCATTTATCTGTTATTGATTCACAAACTAAGCAATGGAGACCGTTTTTAAAGAATAGTTGACATACTTAATAGCGAGAGATTCCAGCAAATCGGATTGCATAAATGAGGATGGGCCTCAGGCGAGCATTCCATACATCCGTTCATAACCTCAGCTCGTGTTTTTCACATATAATTGAACATCAGCGAGTATTAAGTATCTTTTAAAGTTCTTTAAATGCGAGAGAGTTTGACTTGTAAGACAACTGCTCCCCCCCCCTAAAAAAAAAAGGGGACAGTGCTATATATCTCCCTTTCTACTGGGCCGATTGACAAAATTCAAACTGCGTTTTTCATGTCACGAAAGTACGACTTAGGATATATGTTAGATTTATATACAGCACTATTCTAACATAGGTATTTTGACACAAAATCGGACTTTTTCTGAAATAACATACCAATGTTTTTCCATATTTCGATTCTACGACTCAAATTATGCCAGAATGCCCAGTTTTGTAAAAATCGTACCAGTAGATTTTAAAATATTAGCTCTCAAAATTTTAGCTCCTCAATGTTAATTGAATTTGGCAAATATTTATTAATATCTCTTTTTTATTAAATGTTTTTGATTTTTCCTAACACATTTCGAAATTTAGGTTCATTCCAAAAAAATTTTCCCATTTTTTGTTTTTATGTTTAAAATTTCTATTTTTAAATAATTTTTATAAATTTTTCGAAAAACATTTTGAATTATAAAAGCAAAAATTGCACAATTTACCAACATATAAGAATAAAAAATAGCGAGCTTAGTGTACAACTAAATGTTATAGCAGTTCTATATACAAAATTTCAAAGTTCTGAGGCTACTCTTTTTTGAGTTATGCGAAACCTAAACATACATACACGGACATACATAGTACAGAGGTCACGAAAACGTCTTTTCTGAATTCAATTTAAATTCTTACTGACCGATGAGATGTGGAGAAACAAAGAATACAGACTCTCAGTTGTCCTGGATTATCAGTGAGCCCGGTCTGCGCACATCTAGGGTTTGCCGTTTGATTTTAGGCAAGGTTCCAAGGTAAAAATTTAAAACTAATATAGAATAAGGAGATTAGCTTACAGCCAAAAAAATAACATATAAGTTTCTTTTAACTCCTTAACCTAAAAAACTGAAGTCAAAAAGGTTACATTCTGTTTGACTTTTGTGTTGGAATTAAAAGAAGTTGGACCTTGTTTTTCTATTTTTCTTTTTTGTACGCAATGACACCAATAAAGAAATTCCTTTAGTTACGAGACAACTAATTATCAAATTGAGAGATGAAGGTAAAACTCTTCGTTATATTGGTAAAACCATTGGAAAACCATTTTCTAGTGTGCAAAGAGTTATTCAAAACTATCTTGACACTGGTAGTCTTGCTGTAAAACCAAGATGTGGGAGACCGAAGAAGCTAACGCAGAGAGAGAAAGAAAAATTCTTTTACGAATTAAACAAAATCCTAAACTTTCTGCTGCAAGCATTGCAAAAGACATTTTTTTAACTAGCAACAAGGAAATTTCTCCTGAAACTGTACGAAAAGTGCTGCGAAAGTCCGATTATCATGGACGCAAACCTAGGTCTAAGCCATACATTTCCGAGACAAATAGAAAGAAAAGAATTGCTTTTGCCAAAACATATTTAAACTCTTCGCAGGACTTCTGGAACAATGTAATTTGGTCAGATGAAAGTAAATTTACAATATTTAAAGTTAATGGCCACCCTATTGTATGGAGAACTGAATCTGAGAAATTTAAATCCAACTGTCAAACATGGAGTTGGCGGTGTGATGGTATGGGTGTGTATGTCGTCGAAAGGAGTTGGAAATTTTCACATTATTGATAAAGTCATGGATAAGTATGTTTATCTGGATATTCTGAAGAAAAATCTACGAGACAGTGCCCGAAATTTAAACCTTTCTAATACCTTTATTTTCCAACAAGACAACGACCCGAAACATACAGCTAAAATTGTGAAGGAATATCTCCTCTATCACACTCCAAGACAGTTGCGTACTCCTCCACAGTCACCAGACCTCAATCCAATCGAACATTTGTGGGCAAAATTGGAGAAACGAATTCGAAAACACAATATTACGTCGTGAAATAAGCTAATTAGTAAATTGCAGGAAGAATGGGCGAAATTTACGTCGGATGACACTGAAAAACTAGTTCAGTCAATGCCCAGACGTCTGCAAGCTGTTTTGAAGAATAAAGGATATCCTACAAAGTATTGAAGTAATGTAAAAAACTTATATTTTGCTTTTTTTTGAAAGTGTACGCAGACTTATTGGAGGGAATTTCTGAGTTTTTTTTGACAAAATATATTTTTGAAAAAATGTAAAAAGTATTACACTGATATTATTTACTTTTTATTTAAGCTTACAATTTTAGCTAATAGAAGAAAAAAATGCAATGATTAAAATACATTTTCTAGCTTAAGTTTTTTTTAATTAAAACTTAATTTATTAATTTTTTCTCATATAATAATTTTGTGCATTTTTAAGATTAAAAATAGTATTTCTTTCTTCCTTTTTTAAAAATATTTAAAGTAATTTTATTTCGGTTTATCGTGCTAACTTCGTTTAAATCGAATTGTCTAAAACTGAGAACTTTCATTTGATATTTATTTGAATTTTATGAAAATATTTTATGACATTAACTGCATAATTTATTTCTAAACAAGCTGTTGCTTATGAAGTGGCTGAAAGAGCGGCTGATACTATCATCCAATATTTTTAAAGCACAGTATATTTTATAGAAACATAAGATTTAGAATAAACATTTTTATAAAAGTCAAATTATGATATAAACATACAACCCTCTAGAGACTGAATTAATGGAAGTTTAATGGTTATGTGGGAAGGATCTGCAGCTACTTAATGGCTGGATAAGTCAGCAGGTTCTGTGGACAAGTAAGAATAATTATATAAACGACACTCAATATTCTGGATTCAATTAACAACGAGGGTACGATGTTTATTAAATGAATTTAAGAAGTTTTTAAACATAAAAAATCAACTCATTTTTTATCCTAAAATGTATTTTTACGCGTAGTGTATTTTCATTCTATCTTTAAAAT